CCGGCAATAAAACCATGTTGACAATCTGATATGAGATGGTGAGCAGTCAAGTGATCGATAATCCTATCCCTCACAACAGATTCCATCAGCTTACAAACAACACTTGTCAGACTGACAGGGCGATAGTTGCCGGGGCTGCTTTTGTCACCTTTTTTGAACAACTTGTGTTTCTATTGAAGACTGCGATACCTCCTCAGTATTTCTGTCGACTCACACCCAAAAGGCATTTTCCCCGTCATGCATGACTTGTAAGACAGTATATCACTCATTTCTTTGATTGGCATATTCCTCGTCATGCATGCATATCTGGACAAATTCACACTGATTTCTTTGAGTATATGCAGCGTCATGTAAGCTCCGTCGTGCCGATGGTCCCCAGCTAAGCCCCGACATGTCGTGCAGATGTCGTGGCATGGACGAAGAAATTGTACAATTTCCTTGAGATGGCTCGGCTTCAGATACCTCGTCTGTTGTTATGCTTCGGATTTGAAAATATTGGAAAATATGTATAAATTTGAAATATTATTACTAAAAGATACGGAATTTCGTGACAGAATTTTGAAAATATACAGAATTTTTATTCAGAACTTTGATACTACTGAATTTAGAAAATTTATAGATTATTTGAGACCTTAATTATTCTCAAAGTTGATTAGTTACTGTAAAACGTTGATTAATAAGTTACTGTTGATCGTTCTATACTGTGGATATTTTAATGCGTAATTTAAGATTAGTTTATTTGATATTTCAACGTGTCATTGTTACCATATTTTTTAATAGGTCCTTGCAAAATATTCATGCTCAAAACGACTGCAAAAAAATAATAATAAAATAAAGTTTTGTCCACTTTTTGCACTTGGTTAGGTCGCAATGACCCAGTTTGGGAATGGGAGCGTTTCAATGCTATAGTTACACTCTCTGCTCGTGCTGTGTGTAAGAAAGTGTGTCATTAATGGGACAATACGACACAAACATTTCCCAGAGTGGACCGTTGAAAGCAAGGTCGTTTGTACCACTCATCCTTTCACCACAGCGCCTGGAATGTGATGAGATGACACTTTTGTGGTTTTCCCTTTGCACACACAATTGTTTTCCGTGTTTTTAAGTTTTTTTTAATTTTTGTGGTATTTTCTTTGCCTTTAAATTTCTGGTTAACTTGCGATATAAGCAAACACGTGATTTTAATAGTCAGCGCGATGACAGTGATGTTATTATCTAGTTGTTATCCTTACAGCATATTTTTGTGATGCCAGGAAGTTTGTTCTCGTTTGTTCTGTAATTGTTATCGCTGCAGCAACATCAGCAGCAATTATTGAAGAGAAAGACACGCACCACTTTCCCTACCGTACCAGTCGCTGGGAAATCGCTGCTGCATCCAATATTACTTGAAATTTAAGAGCAAAGAAAATTATACGAAAATTTATTAAATATTTTTAGAAAAAGTTTTTGAGTCCGTCCATCGTCAGTTCTAAATTTCTAGAACTGACGATGGAGTTTGACTCCGAAACGTTTTATATAAAAATATGACAAATTTTCGTGGGATTTTATTTGATTTTAAATTTTAAATCAATTTGTGATCGAAGCAATCGAATGATATTATATTGTTGACATTACTGGCAGCATCGTCGGTATCATGACCTAACGGGCATTGTATATATGTCGTACAATGATTCAAAGTTATGATCTAATAAAAAATACCTTTACTAAGCTTGAACAGTCATATAAAAGATTTATATGATAATCAATTACGTGGTATATGGGCTGCTCGACATGATCGAAGCCAGCGCTTTTTGAGTTGTTATTGATGTTACATTTTCGTTTCCTTTCATTCTTTAAAAATTAATAAAATAAAAAATAAAAAAAAATTAAGAATAATTGCGAAGAATGAAACTTCTATGCTGAAATATTGTTTCCAGCATATCATCACCCGATACCGCATCGCAAAATTTCCCAAAAAATCTTTGGCAGCCAAAAATTAAAGAAATTTTTCGCAAAATCCAGAGTTCGCGCAGCCGCATTTCCGATGCGTAAAGCCGTCGCCGTGCAGGGAAGCCGCTACGCTTTCTCTGCGCGTATTTACTTCACTCGGAGAAATAAGAGGCTCATAGTCCAATCTGCGATGCACTTTTCTCCCTAGTTTGGGTCATCCGCACCCAGTTTGGCATGTCAAAAGGACGTATCAGTGCTACGTTCGCGCCGTGCTCGCGCTAAATTTGGGGGGCTAAAGTGTGTCACTTTTTGGGCAATGTGAACCATTAATTTATTATGAGTGTTTGCACAAACACATGCACGAAGTCTTTGATATGAAAATTTTATGACTTCCATGCGTGCGTGATTCAGAAACTTCGTGTACATACACGCAGAAAAATTAATGGGTCATATTGTCCAAAAGGTGACACACTTGCTGCGCGTAGCATTGCTACCACCTGTTTCAGGACCAAACTGGGTCAAGATGAACTTCAGGGCAAAATTTGCATCGCTATTTGGACAAAACCTCTCATTTCTTCGAGTGTACGTTTTATACGAGTACATGGAGAACCTATATAGTCATATGGTACGTCTTGTGGCGCCTTAAACTTGGGGAACATTTTTTAAAAATGTTTTGACAGATAGCCACATCTTTTGCTATCTTTACCTGGGCAAAAATTTACGAAACATCAAGAAAATTTCTTATTGTACACAAAAGTAAAGAAAAATTAACGAAAAGGTTACCAAACCTCTATGCGTAAATTTTGCAGATAGTAAAAAGACTGTACCTTATTTCCTCAAATTATGATTCTTTGTAATTATGCGATGCATGCTACAGAAAACACCCACTCTTTTGCTCCGTGGAAAGGTGTTTGTTCAAATTTATATAAAAAATTAATACACTAAAATCCAGATAAGATTACAGTAATTCATATATATATTTATTTCGCTAATGAATGCATCAGAAACCAGGTTATTTTGTAAAAATTGTTGGGAACAATAATAAAAATATTAAAAGTGCCACCGAAATTCGGGATTTTATTTTTGGGAAAGTAGAAAGAACAGCAAGTTAATATTCCAGCTCACACTTTCGATTTTCATAACCTTCAGCAAGTATAAGTCGTTAACCTTTCTCATTCCTTTCACCTAACCGTCCGATTATCAAGACGGTTCCCCGGTTTATACGCCGCCTATCGCTCCTCCTATACAACTCCTACGCACAACTTTCCCTCACTAACGCAGGCGTAACAAACAACGAACACACTGCGAATGTATGCGTGTGTGTGTTTGTTATGATATATTGTGAATGTTATTAGTAATTACACCTAAGCTAGAGTGTCATAAAGTTAATAGTTATTATACTTACATGTGTGAGAGTGGGTGTTATGATGCATTATGAATGTTATTAGTTGTGATGTTTACGTGTGTGAGAATCCTTGTAATGTAAAGAATATTATAATTCAAGATATCTACTAGTGTGAAAATGCACTTTTAGAAATATTGGTGAAAAAAATGGCATGACCAGCATTCTAGTGCATGGCCGTCCGTCTGCGAAACTAAACATTGCCACCATTTTTTTCATAAATGGTTTGAGTTTTCATATAACTTGAAAAAAACGGTGATACGGTAAATTATACGGAGCGTCCAGCCAGACTGCTTTTCCATCGTTCTTCTGAACAGTGATGTTTTGACGTTATGCGTGTTAAATGTACTCTATACATTATAAATATTATTCATCATGATACCTAAATTTGCGTAAGAGGTCGTTGCCATTAACAATTCTACAAGCGCATATACTGATCCCAGCCATCCTGCGTCATTACTATAGCCTATGTAACAGGAGAAGTAAGTTTGACATCAATCTGGCGTTCAAGTTTAAGCGGATTAAAGGATCAGCACCAAACGCGCGTTGCAGGATAGGCACTAATAAGGCATTAAAATTTCAATCGTATATCACCAAGTCACACAATTAAACAAGTCTCTAAAAATATTAATTATGTCTCGATCAAATATGCATCTTTTAAAATATTTCTTTTATCTAGTCTCATTATACGGCTGTTCAAATTAGAGCTTCTATAGTTTCATTCTTCTATTTAATAAGAATAATATTAGTTAGAAAATTATTAGTCTCTATATAATTATTTATTATTAACCCGAATTCAGAAATTCCCACCACAAACTTTAACCGTCCAACAAACAGTACTAGTGCAGTATAAGGAACCCCTATACAGTAGAATACTGTTGCAGGAAAGCGCAAAACACGTTGCCTATAGATAGATAATAATTAAATTTCATTGAAAGGATCTGTTTACGAAAAAGATTCTACGTGAATGAAAGATTCTACGAATGAAATGAACGTGCATCATTTAATGATCGAAAGGTAAATCAACATATATACCATGAAGGATCTGTCAGTAGGAATGAGACGGTATATAAACTTCAAAATAAACACGAACACTAAATTATAGTAATTTCAGCAAGACCTATCCTATACGTCAGCAGTTATACCGCTGAGAGGTAGTCAGACGTGGTCCAAGATCGACTGTAGGTCAAAAATCAGGTCCAAATGCGGGCACCCAGCGGACGAGTGCAGTGCTGGGAGTGGAAATGCCGGGACTTGTTTTATCCGACGTTCACAAGTTGCAGCTTCCTTCTACGCGGTTCCCCGAGAGGAAAGAAATTCAACTGGACGATGGAGTGCAGGAGAAGTACGGCGCTGGAAGTAGCACCAGCTTCGAGGCTGGTTCTTTAGGTTACTACCTCGCAGCCGCCCCCCTCCATGGCCAGCGACAGAGGTGAGGCGAAATATTCAGAAATTTGAAAGGATTAAGAGCGGACGGCAGCGTCGGAGGTGAATCCAATGCACTTTACCTGCCACACCGTTACCGCGTCCTGCCACGCCCGTTTCATAGGCAGGCAGCTCAATCGAGAGTGAGACGACAGACGCTAACGTCCAACTTCAGCTTCGAATAATGCGTTGGATGAAATAAAAGGCGCGGCCGGCAGCCTGCAGAAATACGTGCGGCAGCTACAGCACCTTTAGCCCTGTAGGTATTCAGTAACTGTACAACACAGTAACTGTTCAACACAGTAACTGATCAACACAGTAACTGTAAAATCCAGTAACTGTACAACACATTACTGTGCTACACAGTAATTTCACATCGGTGACACTAGTGCAGAATGTATAGCGCACCGTGCTCTCGCTTTCTGATCACGAGAAGCGTTTTTTGTGATGAAATGTCAGCCGGGAACTGTAAACAAGCGCCTCAATGTGGTGAACTGTGATGTGTCATGTGTGTGATGAGATACGATAACTTGCGGTCTAATATAATAAATCCTCACAGAGAAAACTTATCTGCCACTGCGATGAAAAAATTAATAGTGGTGACAATGAGACAGTTGTGATGCAAGGAAGACGTGACGGTGAGTGTGAGAGCATGCATGTTAATTTGTTCAAGTGGATGGTTAGGTATAGAATTTCTATAGAAGTCTAGTATTGAGTTTAGATTCCACCATCCCTGTACAGAAAATAAGCTACCGCACGTCATGGGAGTTGATCATCATGAATACGGTATCATGAATGCGGTATCATGAATACGGTATCATGAATGCGGTATCATGAATGCGGTATCATGAATGCGGTATCATGAATGCGGTATCATGAATGCGGTATCATGAATGCGGTATCATGAATACGGTATCATAAATACGGTATCACGAATACGGCATCATAAATGCGGTGCCATGATTACGGTATCATGAATACGGTATCATGAATACGGTATCATGAATACGGTATCATGAATACGGTATCATGAATGCGGTATCATGAATACGGTATCATGAATGCGGTATCATGAATACGGTATCATAAATACGGTATCATGAATACGGTATCACGAATACGGCATCATAAATGCGGTACCATGATTACGGTATAATGAATACGGTATTGTGAATTTTAGCGTATCATGCATAGCTATCGAAATTAGGAACAATATGCAAAAAATAAAAGCAAATGATGAATATTTGAAATCATCGTGGATACGGTGACATGATGATATCAAGATTAAAATTACACTCAAGAGACAAAAAATCAATGAACCTGAGTAAATGTTATATATTCGCATGTTTCACTCATGAAAAACTAGCTCCCGTACGCATGACGCATCAAGATTGGAATTACAACCTACATAATAAGTGTTAATAAACTTAAAAAAGTGTGTCATGGATATTTACACATGAAAAACTAGTCCATTTACTCGCGAACGCGTGACGCATTTCTACGGACTCAGGATGCCACTTTCACTCACGCATCATTAATTGATGAGTCATGAGGAAAAATGAATTTATGTGGCGAATTTTGTTATCCTGGATTGGCTTTAAATAAACTTTTATAATTCATTGTTGTCTCAATATTTCATCGTTTCCTGTGTGGTTTAATATGACCATCATTATTTTTTATGTTAGATGTTGACGTTGATATTTTTTGTTATAAGCAACCTCAATGAGTTCTGAAATTGTTATCTACATATTTTGACATCTTTTGTCTGAAATAATTCAAATCTAAATGAAATATTATAACAATTCTAGTGTGTTTTATGAACGCTAAAATAAATTCGTTGGGTGCGGAGTTAATTTTTTATTGATGTTATTTTTTTGCGAGACAAGGAACAGCGAAAATTACTGTTCGCATATTTTCATTAAACATGAATTATAGATTAAAGGAAGATTTAAATTCGTGAACAAATTATTTAAAATTTAATTAATTCATCATTGCCCTCATAGATGACCTCACGACGTCCGGATACCATTTAATGTTCGTAATAATTCAGGTTGCGAGTTTAGCAACGTTGTTACGTTCATTCAGAAGAGCTCGCAAAAACTAAAACTAAAGTCGACCATTACCAGACTATTTAATGCAAATTTGATTTCCGCGGAGCAGGAAACCAATCTGTAGAAACGATTCAGTTCATAATAAAATATTCCATGTGATGTCATTACGTTTGCTTTATTTGTTATATACGATATTTTTATATTCCTTAGAACAGTTAACCACAGCATCCTACCTTATCGATTGCAGTTAATTCCCTTCACCGATGAACAACAGAAGGCGCGGCACTCAGGAATCTACCTCTCTCTTTCAGTAACTGCTAAAACAAGAGAGCTGCGCTAACCTTCTCCCACAACTTCCAGTGAGACACTGAGCCTCCTCTCGTCGGCGTCTTATTGTTATTCCAGTGAAAGTGAACCACCGCTGAGGTGAACAAGGGTCGCGTACACAGAAAAGATGTCTTCATTGGCCGAGGGAATTTTTGTGACGCAAACATTTTATTTCTGAAATACAAATCTATAAAGAAGGATGGAACTAAACTTATTACAAAATAAGAGTAATTGAAATGATGTATAACATACAATGTACAAAACATAGGTCAAGAATAAGTTATTTCAATATTGCTAACAGCTCTCAGATCATAACTCCGGTTCATCTTCGTGCTTTTTTTCGCTGTCGTGTTCATTTCAGCCGCGGGTGCGGAAATGTTAACCGCGGCGCGCAAGCATCCGGCTAGAATGCCAGCTATAATAAGCGTCAGGTTACTGCCTTTGCATTTGTCAGATTGCTTGCAATAATAAAATGCAATGCAATATTTTTTAGTAGTTTCAATGCACTAGAATAGTTATTGTAGCGCACCGTTGGTGATGCTGATTTCCATTTACTGAGATAAGGAGACGTCTAACCGGATTTTGCATTCAAAGCGCACACCCGCGTCAGAGGTCATCTCCTCATCCCCTGAACTTCTTACTTTCACTTGCCGGGGCCGCGGCGGCATAGCGGGAAACACCAAGGTCAGCGTGATCTGCCACTTAGGAATTAGAGGGAAATCCGCTTCACCCGGCAGTTGCTCAGGAAATAGAGGAAAAACTGCTTCGCCAGATGGCTGATCAAGAATTGGAGGGATATCCGCTTCAACATAGCATGGCAGTCTGAAATCAAAATGCATCGTTCGCAAAAAAAATTAGAGACAGAAAATAAACTATTTAGACCATAAACTCGCAACACTTCGTAAATATAAGAAATTTCAACTTCCGGTTACACGTAAGCGTCACAATTTAATTATTGATTTGAATTTTCCACATGAAATTAAATGAAAATAAATTCCAGATGGCTGAAGTTTATTAAAAAATATAAAAATTACTGATAAAACATTTGGATGTGGAAAATTTCTTTTATGATGTCTACTAATTGAATTCTTTAAATTAAGAAAAATATTTATTTAAATATTTTACGGTACCGACATATTCAATTTACTTCAAAATTTTATCCACATATTTTCATGCACTGCCCAAAAGTAATTTATGATTATATTATTAAGTTTCAAGTCTTGAAAGTAGAAAAAACTAGTATAATTCACACAGTGTATCTCAAACAAGCAACGCTCGTTTCGGATGCACTAAAGCCCTTTATAGAAGAGTTTTTACAGGTTAGAGCCCACACATATACGAACTACATCAATCTGAAAAAATACGGTTTTTATAGATAGTGTTTTTATTTGTAAGTTATTCGATACACAAGTTATTAATATGATAGTCGATATGGCCGAGTCGTCAAGCTCGATTTGAATGAAGTAGTGCGCGTATTCGAAACCCACAGTCAGCTGAGAAAATTCTAGTCGAAATCGTGGCATGGTGGCGTTATGCTGGTATGGGTCTAAGATATTGTTGACGCTCCGAGTATGAACGCGTTCAAGAACAGACTAGACAAGGCCATGCATGAACATATGTTCAGTCTTAAAATGCCTCGTACCCTACGGAACAACTGATATCTAGAAACGATTTTAAATCTACTGTCCGTAAGGCCAGTCTGGTCAAGAAAAGTAAAAGAATCGGCGACAGGCCTATCCAGGCCTATTTATTTAATGCCGAAGATACTATACTATACTATACTATGTGTGTTGCGGGTGCGAGACCCGCACCAAGCTGAGAAAATTTCTCGAGGTCTAAGCCGTTAACAGGCAAAACGGGGTCTTATCTTCAACGCATGCACCCATATATTATATAATATAAATAATATTACAGTCGGGCGATACTGCGGTCAAGCTATGCATTCTCCATATTTTTACAACACTTCTCTTTAACTTCACTTCTTGTTTGTTTGTCTGTCTGTCTGTCTGTCTGTCTGTCTGTCTGTCTGTCTGTCTGTCTGTCTGTCTGTCCGTCTGTCTGTCTGTCTGTCTGTCTGTCTGTCTGTGTGTCTGTCTGTCTGTCTGTCTGCTACAAATCTTATAATCAAAATTTAACACACTTCTACTTATCCTATCGATCTGAAATTTTGCACACTTGCGTAAAGTTGGAGACAATGCAAGAATCAAATGACAAAATAAATGATTTTGAAAATGTTTTTTTTTATATTGAAAAATTTAAAAAATAATTTTGTCAGCTACTAATCTTATAACTGATAGTTGACACACTTTTACCTGTCCAATTGATCTGAAATTTTGCACACTTGTGTGAAGTCGGAGGCAATGTATGAAACAATTGACAGAATAAATAATTTTGAAAAAAAATTATAAATTAAAAAAAATTGAAAACCTAATTTTTTTAATATTCGAAAATAAAATGAGAAATTCATTGTACATCTTTAACATTGGAGACACTGGATTCTTTAGAAGTGTTGTCTTTAAAAAGTAATTTTTAAACGTATATTATTGGGTTATCTAATTCTAAATTCTCTTTGGTAAACGAAACATATTATTTATTAAACAACTGGGAAAGGTGGCCCAGTGGTTTAGTTCAGAGTACCAAGATTGGAGCAAAGTGGTGCGGGTTCGATCCCAGCTCTGTGCGACAGGTTCAGTATTTGAAGCAGTGAGTTGCGAGTTCAAGCCCGCAACAAGCTGTGAATGTTCTGCAATGTTAAGAATCGGCGACAGGCCTACGACCTAATAAACGATGAAACCGCGATATTATCATTATATTATACATTGTATAATGGCTGTCGACTGAGCACATCTGTTTCGTACAAGTTCAATTACCTCTAAAAAATGTCTTAGAGCCACATAACTATCTATAATCTTAAAAAGGCTCAGCAAATATTGAGGATCAAATAAATAAGCAAACACATAATTAGTAACGTATGCCTAAATTTATTCAAGTCACATTTCATGAATGAACTGCGGTTTATAATACAAAAACTTAAATTAAAATATGACGTTAAATGCTACATTTTTTATTTGAATTTAGCTGGGGTGACGAATTTGATACTTTTTTAACATATATAAAAATATAAATTTTAAATGAAAAAAGGAAGACGTCGCGAAAAATTACACATTCACGAATTCACACATTGAAATTAATGTTTTCCAACGCTGAAGTACCAAGGAATCATTAAAAACTGAAATCCTTATTATACTAGTTCAACCCATGGTTGAACTATATAAGGGTGAGGTTGTCTAGTTCAACCAAGTGTTGTTCAACCATGGGTTGTCGTACACGAAATCTGTGTATAGATCCAACGTTTAGTAAGGTCCTGGTGTCCGAACGTGTACCCCGCCATCAAAATTCGTGTTTGAAAATTCCAGTAATTCTCGCCGATTATTCGCTTTCTTTGCAACTTGCAAGCATACGAATATTATTTAAAATGGCAGCTGCACCTTCAAACCCTTCTACTTTGCTTCCATTAGGTAATTATTAGTTGTAGAAATTTGTAATTTTTCAAAATTCTTTCTAGTTTCTACAGCGTTTTTTGCTTTCTAACAAATTTATTCATAAATTTCTAACAAATGCCTGGAGTGAAAGGTGGGGTAATTAATTTGATACGAATTTTGCCACAGTGCCAAAAGGCCCAAAACCACAAGTGGCAATATTTGTATGGTAGCTAGAAGCTAGCCATTGTAATAAACCTACCCTTAACTTGACAGTCCATACCGTCAAATGGGGTAAAAAGGGTTGGGCGGGGTAAAAAGGGACAGTCCTCCAACGTTTTGTAGAAATGTTTTAGCAGCTAAACTAATCAAAATATTGCAAAATTAAAAATAGTGGCCATAAAGTTAAACATTTTTACTATCTATGCAGCCTAAAGCAAGTTGAGAAATCATACATTTATTAGGGTAAACGCGGTATATTCCGACATCGTGGATAATTCCGTCACCTCTCAAGTTTTTCCTTTATATTAAGCTTTGATTTAGTTCCATGCGTTCGTTGATGGTTGAAATGGTGACGTCATACATTTGCACGTCGAACTACTGCCAAAACACTAGGTCTTCGCCATCTAGCGGGAAAATATTGAGATCCAAAGAGAGACAATGCACGCTACCCAGTGAGATCATCGAAAAATGTGTCAAATTTGACAGTTGACATTGGAATAGGAAGAATAAATAAACCAAATAGGAAATAACTGTTTGTATAGGAAGAATATTATGGTTTGAGACTTTTAAATACGTCTGTGAAGTGTGAATATATTAGGAATCCTTTAAGTATACTTGTATTTGCTGATTTCAAGTGGTAAATAAATTAATAGATGATTAAGTTGAGAAATGAATTTAGACACATGAAAACTAATTCCGTCACAACTTGAATTGGACACACACTGATTGTTCCAAGCTATGTACGAAATTAAAATTTGCTTAATTAAAAGCTTAATAGTTGTTAATTAAAAGCGTAATTAAGTAGTGTTCAATATTCATTAGGTAGTGTTCTAATTCAAAGCCGTGTTGTATTCCAATACAGCTCACACAGGGAACGGAATTCGAACACGTGGATGACGGCATTACATATCAGTAGAATTTGAAGCGCGGACAGAATAAGCCTCACCACATGCCGAATATTGCCACACACAGTGTCGGAATATAGGGATTTGGTAGGTTTGCATTCTAAAGGCTTTTAAATAAATATGGCAACATTTTGTGACGTTTCATCGTTGCTGGCGCATAGTACGGTCACTACGGTGTTTTGCGAGTCACATAAAGCAAACAGAACTCGAGTAACGCATACGGTTATTTTTTTATAGTTTTTCATTTCTCGATGCGTCCTTAATGTGTCGGAATATACCGCGTTTACCCTACCTCTAAAAAATCCATGAAAAAAAGTGTGAAAAGTGAGATTTTGGAAAAGTATCTCTGCTAAGGTCTGTAGCAGAAAAATCATTTGTTGTATTGAAAAATCTTACTTACATATAAGTTGCACACTGTTGTTGGCTTAAAAACGTGATTGACAGAATTTGCATATCTCATTCCAAGAAAAAATGGCAGCCATTTCCGCAAAACGGGGTAATAAGGATTTAAGGGACACCCCTAAAACTACATTTACAGTAGAGCCTTGGTTAGCAAAGGCTCCAGTTAATGAAAAAAAATCAATTAACAACAAAGAAATTTGATTACATTTACCTTGCTCAGTGAAAAAAATTTCACTTAACAAAAAATTACTGCATCAGTCATCACAAAATTGTGCATAGAGTGTCATAGATAGAATTGAGCACTGGGCCACAAAGAATGGAAAATAATAACCTGAACTATGATTTATTTCTCCAAAAAATATGATAGTTGTCAGTTTATCACTGATATATTCCTTCCTGTTTTAGGTATGTTTTTTACAATCTTTTTTGTTATAGTATAATCACTCGACTTGATTAATATTGTGCAAAATTGCAAGCCACCCTGTAAGCTTACAGATATAGAAGAAATGCTACATGGCTGCTGATATGAAGCTTGCAGTGGACAAGGTTGTTGTTAATGCTCTATGGCATGTCCATGGATACAGTAATATCACATTAATAATACGGTAATTAATGAATATGGTAATACCATATCAATAAAGGATAAACAAGTAAAAATCACAGAAAATGTCATTTATTCTACATTTACATCATCTACAATGAAAGAGGAGGACTTCAGAACACTGTTAGTAATACATGAGTACACTCTGCATGCTTCAAACGTTTCAAAATTAGGTTTTATCTCAAGTGTCCCTAATTACCCCATTTCCAGATTAATTCAGGAGCCTTTTATATTGTGTCTAGCACCTTACAAATAGCATTTGGAATTTTTTTTAGAGATGCCATACAATAGCCCTTGCAAAGACCTTTAAAATGAGCCCAAACTTGTTTATGAAATGTTTCATGGTAAGAAGTTATTAACAAAAAACGCTCAAAACCGTCCCTTTTTACCCCATTTGATGGTACTCTTTAGCAACTGACCACTGTGATAGTGGCAAACCATACTCCAGAGAATCTCTAGAATCAGTTCATTCTTAATTTCCTCATTCACTCATTTTTTAAATTAATTTCTTGTGTATGATAATGCTTGTATCAAAGATACTTACTAGTCTACATTTGGTAAAGCACACATCAAATATACCTATCTACCTTCAATGCAATTGCAATGACTAGAGATTTCCCAACATTTCCAGAGCCAGAAGATTCCCACTGAATGAAACGGCTCCTACTTGATTTTAAAAAGAAACATTTAGAATCCGAAATTAGGTAATTGAAAATCTGTCCCATTGGAGCCTCTAATTTTTTAGTGATAAGTTTGTACTAAATTCCAAATTCCAATCATGTCTTTGCCTTGTAGTATATAGGTAAAATTAAATCATATACCTACTCTGTCTATAAAGATGTGATTACAGTTTAAATAATGTGCATAGGATCAGCTTAACTTGAAAAGATTACTTGAACAATTATATTAGCTAATAATAATAATACTTTTTTGAATACAACAAATTGTTGACTTCCTAAGGTTTTCCTTGATAGAATATATATAACTTAAGGAAAAAGAATACAACTACCTGTCATTAGCCTATCACCATCTATCATGATAATAACAACAAATTTTGACAATGACAATGTCTTCATAAATGTATTATAGCATTATAATTTAAATTTTGCTTGTTTTAATTATATATCTCAATTTTTCAGAGTTGGTTGACAAGTGCATAGGTTCCCGAATCCATATCATCATGAAGAGTGACAAAGAGATTGTGGGCACACTGCTTGGGTTTGATGACTTTGTCAACATGGTACTGGAAGATGTAACTGAATATGAGTCTACACCTGAGGGTCGTCGTGTTACTCAGCTGGACCAGATTCTTCTAAATGGGAACCACATTACAATGGTAGAGAAGTAACTTGGTTGAAGGTGTTTCCTTCTTTTCATCATAATACATTGCAATAATTTTTTGTCAGGATCAGTTTATAGGTTACTTCAATTTCTTTACCAGAATAAGAATTCTTACCAGAACAATGAATAGGAAAATGCCTAAGATTATTTTTCTCTCCATTTATTTCAAATACCTAAGATTTTGATATAGTGTTCTGCTAGAATTTTAATTCCACTCATACTTTGTCTCTGTTTAAAATATCAGCCAAAAAATGCTTTTGCCAAAATACTTAACTCATTTACAAGTACTCCAAAAATATAGGTATTCTAGATGCTTATCATCATGCTTTTTCTTTTGAATAAAAGTTGTACTTGAAAAGACCTGTCATTCAATTTTGATTCGAATGCCTGCAAAAAAAATTAATGGTGATTAATTTTTTCTAGTTGGTTCCTGGTGGAGATGTAACTGACTGATCACCGGATGCAGCTAATGCTGTTATTCATCAACCCTCTGCTGCAGCGGCTACACTTCGAAGGCTTTGCATCTCCATGTGTTTTTGACAGAACACACAGTGATGTGGAATGTATTGTGATATATTCATTGATATTCTCGTTCTAGAGAAATTTTCATCATCAAAACCATTTGCTTAACCTTTTTACCTGACGGAAAAAAAATTGATGGTTGCCATAACTCTGATGATAATCATGCCGATTTTTCTTTCTGTTGGATCTTGTACTGTCATCTATTCTTTCTAATTTATTTGAACGTCCTAATCACCCTCAAGAAGTAAAGTAATTGTAGATTCATGCATGGTATATAAGGTAATATCAATTTCTTAGCCAAGTCTTGGCTCTGATGAAATGGCATCTTATATACATGTTGACGGTAAGACAGCTTGGGAAAAACTTACCTGTTGTAAGTATAAAATTTGTCGTTTCTACAATCGATTTGTTGAGTTTACTGCATCTCTAAAACTGTAGCTTTTAAATTTAAATAAGTTTTTCAACAATCCTAGGCAATTAACTGCTGACAGGGAAACCTTAGTTATTACCATTAGTTGGAGCTTAGCTCATTCAATCCAAAATATTTTCAAGTGTTAATTTATGCAAATTCTTGTATTGTATCAGGTATTTTGTATCTCGCATTTTCTATGCAAGTGATCTCATTTGTATAATTGTGGATCACTTATGAATATGAATTTTTTTCATGATTTTGTGAAAATTTTCCCCCTTTTAATATCGGGTATGCAGTTACCTGAGTATTACCTGGTGAGTGGTGAGTTATGACCTGTACATGTACGCATTGTCAATGGAAATGTGTTAACTTGGGTGTTTTACTATCAAAGTATAATTAAGACGAGCACAAATTTTTTATTTATTTAAGTGGACGATGTCCAACTTGTTCGATATTTCTTTCCAATTTGTTCATTGAAAAGGACAGAAATTTAATAGAGAATGTTCAAAGACGTGCAACAAGGATAATTCCAGGCTCGAAGGGCAAGTCCTATGAAGAAAGATTGAAGATTATGAGGCTTCCAAGCCTCAGTTATCGATGTCTGCGTGGGGACCTCATTGAAGCATACAAGTATACTCATGGTTTATACAAGGTCCCCAAAGGATTACTAGAATTTGAAACAAGAACCAACACCAGAGGCCACGGCTATAAACTAAAAAAACTGCGCTGCAACTTCACGCGACAAAATTTCATCTTGCTTCGAATCACCGACATGTGGAACAGCCTCCCCGATGACATCGTTGGCGCTCCAAGTATGAACGCGTTCAAGAACAGACTAGATAAAGCTATGGAAAAATATATGTTCAGATTTGAAATGCCTAGCACCTTATCAAACCCGGTGGAAGTCTAGTAGCTATTTCAAACTATCGTCAGTCATGAAAAGATCCGGTCAAATGACACGATTTTAGATCTGTGAACAAGGCACGAAAAGGAAAAAGAATCGGCGACAGGCCACATCAGGTCTACACTGCAGCGCTGAGATCAATATGTTATGTTATTACTTGGACTGCTGATGTGTTCTACTCTAAGCTGGCATAGAGCATTATTATAATTTTGCTATCTTTCAGCATTGATGCAAAGTTTGATTATAGAAATAGAGAGTGATTATAGAGTGTTAACTGAGCATGCACGAGAGCAGGTTGTGTGGTGCCTAAGAGCTCTTCGATTGCTTGTTGTTTGCTCTGTAGCCTTGCACGTGCGTTGCTCCCATTCTCTCGTCTCGTTCTTGCTGACGCGGCGATTTTATTATTGACACGTCTTTCTACTGAATGTGCTCGTTATTCTTTTGCGGCGTGCCACTTGCTTGACTGGTTGTACGTAGTATTCGATCTAGCATCTGTCTCTTATACACATCTAGATGTGTATAAGAGACAGTCCCTCCGTACCACGAACGGTACGGTAGTGAGGCGTCCTCGAGGACATCGCTGATGTGTTGGGTTGAGTTCGCAAGGTCTGATCTGTAAAGGAAGGCGTTTTAGAGTGAGAAATTCCAGTATGACCTACACAAAGGCAAAACGTGCATAGCTATTTGGACAAAATCTCAGTCATTTCTTCGAGTGTACAAACAATAGATTTATTGAAGTAATGTTTTGATTATTTTGATCGTTGTAGAAGTTCTCAGTGTGGGCTAATTCGTGAAATTTTTCAAAAATACTTTGTTTCCAGACAATAGCTTGATTTTAAATCAATGAATCAATTAACACATTTCAAATTATTTGAATAAAGACAGTTACTTATCGCGTCGGGTTATTGTATATAGGGGCTGTTGGAGCGCGTATCCAGGATACTTATCGTGTCGGGATATTGTATATAGGGGCTGTTGGGGCGCGTATCC